TGTTATATTTTCTAAATTAATTAAATTAAAAGTAAATTCAGTAATTCAGGTAATGCAGGAAATGCAATAGCAACCAATGGAAGAGAATTTTAGACAAATTAAATGTAATTATCCAAACTGAAAAAAGAAAACAGTTTATAAATAGTAACCTAATTGAATTGGACAAAAAGTGAACTTCCAGGAAGCAGATCAGGAAAACAAATCTATAAAAACCATTAACTCCAGTAAAACGTGCCTCTTGAGTTTTTAAAAGCTCGCCGATTTCGTCACCGAATTTTGTTCCCCAAATTAAAATAAAAAGTCGTATGTGAATCCCGGAATAAAATCGATGGTGTTCCGAAGAGGATAATTGGATGAAAATTTTCGTTTTTTTCTTTTTATTCGGCGCACATCCGAAGTTAATTGAACCCTTTCAATTCCTGAAAATTCAATTAACTATGGCTACTTCAAAAAGGGACGGAAATATTAGTGTTCACACACTATGATCAGATTTTTATTATTGAATTAATCGATGCGTTAGTAAGCTCGTCATAAAGAACTTTTGTAAATTTTCACCTACCAGTTGTTGAGAAAAAAATATTTCATATTACATTTAATAATATTTTTTTAGAAAATGACATACATAAAATTTTATAACTGCATTATTTTGTTATCAAACAGGGTTTCTTAAAAAAGAACATTTTTGCATAATGTAAGTTAATTTTTCATATTTTCACAGTGAAATAAGGATATGGTATAAAACAATAAAAACGAGTTTTCATTATTTTGTTGGGACATTTATAAATTGTTTTTCTACCTTAAAAAATAATGTCTATTAGTTATTGGCGTGAAATCTAATTAATTAGTTTCAGTTTTTTATCTTTGCGGCAACTTTAAACATTATAAGTCAAAATAAATTAGAGAAAATCTAACTGAAGTAAGTTGGTAACTCTATTTTTACTTGACAATAGACAATATAAAGCATAAAAAACCACAGACCACAGTCAAACTTTTGACTGGAACACACAATAACGCGTTTTACCACAAACCGAAATTCAATTTTAGGTACTCGACGCGCGTTTCGCCAACCAAGTTGGCATCTTCAGGAGAAGATTAAAACTAGTTTACGTAGTTAACGTAAAATTGAGTTTCGGTTTGTGGTAAAACGCGTTATTGTGTGTCACAGACCACAGATTAGAGCAGCCTATCGAAGACAGGTGGGCTTGAAAATGTCAAATCGTAGTTCCTACAGTATAAAGGTAGGATGGATAACAACCAAGTAATCTGTTAACCTCTCTTAACATAAAAAATCGAATATTTGTGTTTCCCTTTTGCTTAAATTATTAAAACTACTAACAAAATGGCGAGATTTCGGAACACAAACGGCTGTACAATTTTCCTTTAACTTCTGCCAATTATCACTGATATCAACGTGACTTCAACCATATAGTTAATATCTTTTAATATAATATAAAATATTAAATTATTATTGTTGAGTATAGGGAATAATAGCAAGTAATTTTTTATTGTCTGTGTTACTTTTCGACGAAATAAATTTTTAGGTACCGAACACTCTGAGTCGCTTTAAGGAAGTAACCACCAGAAATCTGCCAATTATTGGTTAGTTTGCGCTGGATATATGGATTGGATTTTTTAAAAACCGTAATTAAAACGATCGAGTTCGACATCTCCGCACAATACGGGACACACGAAGTTCCGCAAAATTCCGCTACCAAATTAACTACGCAATCCGTATCGGAGCGTAATTAATTTCGCTTTAAACTGGGCACATCGAAACCTAATACGGGCGCATTACCGCGCTCAGCTGCCATTCGATTAAACCGCGAAATCGCGCAACAATGCTTAATTGAAAACGTCTAAGTAGTCCGCCGTTCATTGGCCCAGGCCAGGATCCTTTGATGTGAGACCATCAATACCCGGCCGTCATCCGGCAAAGAGTGTCCACAACACTTCCGATGTAATGAGCTTTTCGCGTTGGGCTTTTCTCATTAGTGTAACGGGGACCATTCCCTCGTTAGCACCGAGAGGGAGAGAGACAAAACCGCATGCCGTTTCATTAGTGCTAACAAGCGGTACAACGGTCGGGAACGGAAGTTGCCGGTCAAGCTTTTGACGATGCTTTATCTTTGGTGGACAGTCACGGAGCTAAATTACGCACCGTCGTCAACCACGCAATAAATACCATCTACCAGTGTGACGTAAAACTGTTGCTTTTTTGTAGTTCTTACAAATTTAATTTTCTATATTAACACGTAAATTTTAATGGATGTAAATTAAAATAAATATGTATTTGGTCGAGGGAGTATAATTTGCTTGGTAAAAGTGTCGCGCATGAACAAAAGAAATATAAAATGACCTTGCGCAATTCAACATCCAACATGGCTGCTCAATAAGTTGGTTTTGGTTATACGGAAATCGCTGTTTAGAAAGACAATGGCGCAAAGTGCAGTTTAGTGGCTAAAATGTACAGGCATGCGCAGAAAATCAGTCCTTTCTCTACGAAAATATGTGGCGCCTCAATTTTTACCGTAGTAGGGCCACTATATTACCTAATTGCTATATGAATATAACGAATTTCGTATGCGTGGACGCCTTTACTTCACAGTTTGCATCCTACGTATCAATGATGAGAATCCATTTTAGTTGCATCAATGCGGTTATAATTTTTGGATTTTTTTAATTATAGCAAACGAACTGAGCATATGAAAGTAGTCAGCGCCATTATGCGCTAATAATGAGACCAAGACAAGATTATTTCAAATGTTATTTTTGTATTTCTGGTCTAAGAGTGAGATTTTTGCGACCGGCAACCCCATCTTTCGGATTCAATTAAATAGAGACAAAAGCCAAGTTCTCGCATTCGCCTGCCCCGTGACGCGGTTCACTGCAAAACTTTAATCCACTTTGGCTTTAATTTCGCCCCTAAATTGATATACCTTGGGCTCGGTTTCATTACTTTTATACAAAGGGGTTAACGAAATCGAACTTTCCGGAAAATTTATGACTAGAAGCAGAACGTAAAAGCATTAGTTTGCCTACGGGTACCCAAACTAAACCACTGGACACTCGAAACGGACAAACAAAAATTGTGAACTGGTTTAAGATATTTTGGCAGAAATTTCTATCTACTATGGCTCATTTTTTGGCAGTTCCTTTTACGAAATCTTTTTTTTAACATACTATACTTTACTAAGGAGGAAAAAACCCCTTCACTTTTCGAGATGTCTGGAGTAACTTATTGTTGTCAACTGCCATTATCTGATACAGACTAACAGCCCATAGGGGTCGGCTACCAACAATAGTGCATCTTTTATATTCGATTAATAGTTGGAGGAAACAGTTTCGTCACCTCGAGAGCTCAAGCTTGGAATCGTCTGTGTTTTGTTACGAACATCTGAGTCATTCCCTCTCTGCAGTTGTGAACCTCTTATGAATTTTTACTCTTTTTATATGAGATTGCTATTTCTGCTCAAGGTAGGATGTTGTTTTTTAATATTAAGATTTGGCGCTCACCGGTTAGTTAGTTATAATATTCTATTTATAATTTTAGGCGATAGCTGAAGCAAAAGGATCTTGAATTACATTGGTGTACAGGAGGACAAGATGGTTTCTTTCCATTACTACTTCACTTTGAGATATGGACTATTTTTGGAATACTTTATGCTATCCTAACTTCAAACCTCCCCTAATTTTAACTCATCCACCTAAGATCTTATCGGAAAACCTAATGTCAAAATAATGTAAATTGTTGAAATTGTTTTGTCGTTGAAAATAACTGTGTCAACTATGTATAGCATTGGGTAACTTTTTAATTTGACCCTAATATATATATATATATATATATGATGACACTATATTCCGGGATATCATCCGTTCGCTCGTTGAACTCCGACTGGAATCCTGCATCCGACTGGAATCCTGCAAATCTTGCATCCGACTGGAATCCTGCAGACGTTTCGCCAAAATCTCACTTGGCATCTTCAATGCTCGCGCTCCGAAAACACTTCGAACACTCGGAGCGCGAGCATTGAAGATGCCAAGTGAGATTTTGGCGAAACGTCTGCAGGATTCCAGTCGGATGCAAGATTTGCAGGATTCCAGTCGGATGCAGGATTCCAGTCGGAGTTCAACGAGCGAACGGATGATATCCCGGAATATAGTGTCATCACATTTTTCCATCCGTGAATCAATACGTGAGAATATATATATATATATATATATATATATATATATATATATATATATATATATATATATATATATATATATATATGACTTTTGGTGTTTTATTTCCCGAGCACATTTTATAACATTATACTCCATAACCTCTCTCTTTATTTTCTTAAAATCAACTTTTGTCCGTTAAATTAGTTCCACAGTATAAAGAATATTTTTATATTTTTTAACAATAAATTCGCTTCTATATCAATACGAGACCATGAAAGCAGAAAAAACTGGGAGGGAGTGGAACTGGTTAGTTAGTTTTAATTAATTTCGTGACTGGGTTTTGGCAATAGCTTTCCTATTTACCAAATTTTGAAACGTTGCGAACTGGCAAAAGATAGGACAGGAAATGTCCGATGGACAAATGAAAACAAACAACCAAACAATTTTAAACAGTTGCCAATCGTGATACCGTGGATCCAGTTTTTTTGGTTTCTTTTCTTTCGATTCATTTTTAAAAATTTACCTTCTTTTCCTTTTTCTTTTAAGCGCCGTCATTGAGATAATTCGTAACACAAACAACAAGAAATACTGCAAAATGCTGGATCGAAAAATAAAATAAACCTTTATAACCATTTTAAAATATACGAAAATCTAGCAAAACCGTAGCAAACCACTTAAACAAATCCATTAACTAATACATTCAACAATACGCTTCTCAGTCGCATACGTGTTTGTCATGGCAAGGATAATATTTAAGTACACGAAGGGAAGAATATTTAAATTGATTAAAACGTATAAGATTATCACAGGAAATTATTTATATACAAGCTCACCTCTCCGGAGATCTTTCATTCGGAATAGAGACGAGCCGACCATCAACAATCTCGGTAACGAAAACAATCCAAAGAGCGAAAAAAGAAATCACCGTCCCAATGAACACGTACTACAAAACAAAAAGCCACGTTGGACTGACGTCAGCAGGACGACTATCGCGTCGACCTCTCGCCTCACTCTGTTCGCATAAACTGAAAACCACGTCCGCCGTTTTGGTTAGGGACGACGGCGTCGAAGAATGCCGTCGCGACGCCGACGAGCGCATGTCCGACCGGCGTCAAGACGCCAAAAACGACGCTGTGCACACCGAAAGGCACAGGTAAGCTCGTGCGAAATCTTATTAACGCTGACGAGAGAAAGAATGGTCAGTGGCGTGTCGACGGTCAATTTGCCAGGGCGATTGTCAAGCTGAAGAAAAGAAATAATTTGAACCGGGCTTTAATTACGATATTGTTAAATCTGGTAAATAGTGTTGACTTTATTTTAGAAGACATCTGTAAATTCGAGACATTTTTATCTTATCTTATCCAATATTCTCTTCCTTCCTTATTCCCAAGTAATATATTCGTGATCGTGACATTTTGAGAATGAACAATCTATTTTATCTGTCCGACATTTTGTTACCGACTATGCCATCACAAATCGTACTGACTAGATTGTCAACACTATTACCATTTAAGTCAACGCACAGCCTATTTTGTTTTTTTTATTCATCTGACTCACTAAATAAAATACGAAAATTAATGTCAAAAGTAACATTTATTCCAAAAAAAAAACCAAAATCACAAACATTAAATAAATAAAAAGACAATACCCGGTGTTTCCTCTCCTTACTTATTATAACCAATTGACATAATAATACTTGATGAATATACATATAGAAGAAGGCAGACGTAAATTGACGATCTCTAGCCTACCTTCTCACTCGATCAGGTAAATGTTTTATTGGGTTAAGGTCTGGACTGGACCTCATTTATATAACTTTGTACTAATAATACAGTATTATAAAAACTCTCATGTAATCTGGAAAACGTATTCGTTTGACATTAAATTCATTAAATAACTGAGATTAATAGGTGAATAAAAAAAATGAGATGATGAGAAAAGGGGGTTATGCATTAACTTAGACAGACATCTAATAGTGCTGACGAAAATTCCAGGAGTCCAGCAAGGGCACCGTAAAAAAGTTACTGTACTTGAGAGTAGGAGTTTTCCAGGGGAGGAAGAGAAGATGGGTGTGTGGGTGGGTGTTCAAGGAAAAGAAAAATCTTTACAAAAATGCCTCGAACTCACTAATGTTTACTACAATAAAATTCAAACTTACTATTAAGGAGGATCAAATACAAATTATTTGACTGGGCGACTGCACCACACGGCTGGGACTTTATTACGGTCACCTATGGAGTTCCACAAGGAACCGTTCCGGGTCCTTTATTACAATATTCAGACATTTAGTTCTCCTGACTTCTCGTGATGAAATCGCTAATTCCATGAGATTTATTTGTCGTTACATAGTTTTCCAATTATCGTCTTGATAAACAACATTTACCAGAACATCTTGAATTGCAATAATAATAGTTGAACGCAACGTACTTTTTAGAAAAAAATGTTGACCGGGGCTACTCCTGTTTTTGTCAACTTATTTTTATCATTAGTTTATTAAATTGATATTCAGCAATTTCCAAATGCTGAAAAAAAAAAATGACCCGTTTGTAATTTACCCATAGTATAAAACGTAAACCCAGCTTTAGAATGCTGAAGGCTTGAAAATAGCATTGCAGCAAATATTTTACGAGGCAATTCACTTAAAAGTTCGGAAAATTTTCAAATTGCCCCCGATTGCATAGAAGCAGCTTAGAAAATTATCCGACGATTTAAAAGGTCTGGAATATAAAACAGGTTTTTAAGTAATTGCCTATATAAAACCGCCACCAGGTTGCATGTTTCAGGATTGATCTTATTGGTTACACCTGGAACATCCGAGAGAGATAAAAAGTATCCATTGGCGCGATCGTCTGCTTAAATCAATTTGAAGGCAATAATGAAATAATCCTTAATTTTATAACAATGGCTAGCAATTATCATATTAACGTCATTTTAATAAATGGTCATTATTTAATTTAATTCGATGGAATAATTCGTTACCATCAAATTTTCACAAGAAATAAGACGCCTTTGTAGGCACAAAACGTACGTATTCTTCAGCGCAAATAATTCCATTTCGTCAAAAAAGAACAAATCAAAATAATTAAAATTTTCGATCAGAAATGACCATTTTTATTTGTGAGCTTAAATAAAAAATTTAACTCTATGCTAGACGGGTTCACACCGAAGCATTTACTCACTTGGTCCATAAAGAAAAAGCCGGAATAAAATCAGTAGTGGGTGTGACTTAATAAAGAAATCTCTAAAACCGGAGGGATTTGAGATCCGTGATGCAAATAATATAAATTTTAGAGACTTTGAGCAAAAAGTCTTTCTTAATGTATTCTCCGTTAGAGATCGCGCAAGAACTTACAAGGCTTTGGAAGTGAGAACCGTGTTTTACAATGCCCCAAAAAGGGTCGAAGGAAAGCTTTAAGCTTAAGAGCTTTTTGTGCCTGGGCAAATGGATTTCTTAAATATTATACAGAGCGGCACACACTGATGTTGCCAATAGAGATAAACCATCGTTGTCGTACATTTGTATAACGCTGGTGATGGACGTGTTTAGGACATTTTGAAAACCGCGTAGACTATCATCAATTAAAAAAGGAAACTCTTTACGTTTTATATTGTTTATTTAATTTTATATACAGGGTGTGTCGACAACGAGATTGATAGGTTTGCTATTTGTTAATTTTCGTTTGATGACTCATAGGCATATAGCAGCATATATTAGATATAGAGGGCCTATGCCGATAATACAGGGCCACTTGTTTACCAAATTTACAAAGTGAGACGGTGCTCCATCATGCTTAAAGAACATTTTCAGACCAGTACGTAGGCCAATTCGGCTAGACCATTTGTAAGGAAATTTAACTAAGCATTAGCATTTAATCTGTATAACGAAACAAAAAGACCTATTAAGGTGATACCTGCCCAAACATTGATAGAAAACCAATATTGAAAGTTAATTCTTCGTAGTTATTATAAGCTTTATGTCTATTGCTGTTTAGCGCTCCCTTATAGTAGCAATTTAATATGGTTTGGCCCACTTATTTCGCGACCCCCCGTATATTGAAAAAGGTGGTGAAAGGGAAGGGAAAAGGGTAGGAAAGGTCAGAGAAAAGCAGAGTATTATTTAATTATTTATTATAATTATTCTATACTATAAATGTTATATAATATACATTATATATTATACATAATATATTATACATAATATATTATACATAATACATTATATATATTATAACAACAGGAAGAATGCACATTTGAATTATAGGTTTATTCACAATTATAGTAACAAAAGTAAAAGTTGAAGAAAATTAAATCAAATAAATGCGAATAAATTGAATAATTTTCAATAAAAATGAAGGGGACAACGCTTATATGCTGGTCGTGCCCGGGTGCTAATAAATGTCGAGTGTGCAATAAGTTTCGAGCGTTGACGTAGACAAGCTCTTCTGATCCTTATTAATCTTGCGTGCCAACACATTAGCCAATCTAAACGGTGATATTTAACTGAACGGAAGCCCTTAAAAAAAAGAGAGCGTGGTGGCGCTAAGTATCGGTCTCAGCCCTGCCCGATTGAAATACGAAAAATGAAGTTCGGAACAACAATCAATCTTCCGTAAAAGTAAACACTAAAAACGCATTACGGGGTGCCGTATTAAAAGCGCTTGTGTTAATATGAAATAATAGCGCTGTAATCTGGGGCGGAAGGGAGGCGAGTGCGCTTAAAGAAAACGCACCCACGGGGCTTAATGCGGACCGGCTAGAGGAGAAGAAACCGGCTAACATCGTTTCTTACTTTTAATTAGTGCAATATCATTTACGTTTAGGTTTTCCGTGGGACCCTATTCGCGAAACATAGGAAATGAGCGGTGCATGCTGTGCGGTCCACAGTTCTGCAGTTTCAGCACTTATTTTTTTACGTATATATTTGAATGTATATCACACTGTGCTTATATATATATATATATATATATATATATATATATATATATATATATATATATATATATATATATATATATATATATATATATATATATATATATATATATATATATATATTCGCGTTTTCCGTGTTGTCAAAAGGGGCGCCAGTCATTTTGATAATTCCCTTGTTGAGTCTCGTGGGCCCTAACGATGAAGCTATATTTGTTAACAGTAACAACTTAAAAATGGATATTTGAAGTTATGCAATTATTAGCAATCTTTCTAAAAAAAAATTGTATAACAGGTATAGCACCAGTTCTTGGCAGTTTAAATACCCAAATAGCAGAAATATAAGTACATATAAATAATATATAAGTAGAGAAATGCATCAAGTTGAGACACACGTATTTTTAAAACAAATAAAATTTATTTATTTATCGTATGGCTCTACAAGTGCTATATAATAGGTTACAAACAAATTTCTTATGAAAGGAAGGTATAAATGACAATTAATACAAGTAATGTAAAACACAGTAATACACATTAAATGTGACACAGACAGTACATATAGCAGGTGCATGCGAGCAACCTAGCGGTATGGGAAAATCAAATCTACAGGTCCAAATCCAGTTCACATAACCAACGCAATGGCAGCGGGGCTTGCATCAGTAAAGTCTTTCCATTGTCCAGTAAATCTTCTCAGTGGGCAGTCTTGGACTATATGTGTTAATGTTTGCTCTTCAGCTCCACAGTCACATGCTGGATTGTCGGAAATTCCCCATTTGTGCATCGCTGATCTCGTTTTTGCATGTCCAGTTCTAACTCTATTTAATAGGGACCATGTTTTACGAGGGAGTTGCATCCCTGGTAGCTGTTTGTTAGGATCTTCTATGTTGTGTTGATTGACATTGCTGTTATTCCATACGGATGTCCATGATTCAGAAGCGTCGTAGGTTTTTCCTGGAGCAAGTGCTTCCAAGTTCCATATTGGGGCCCTTGATTTCAGTCGATTCACACAGGGTTCATCGATTACCTTGTGAATAGGCCACGTTCTTGGCTGGTCTGGGTGATTTATCTTTTGCCATTCTTGGAATGTAGCCTGTTGTCT